CGGATGAGTTCAAACAGGTCCGAGACACGAAGTCGAACATGCTTTCCAAGTACCTTTCTCTCCAAGTCGCTGCACATCAGACCTCCACGATGTTAGACAGACCACCTTTACCTGCTCACGACGCGACAACTGCATTTTCTTCACGACGCTGCCACTACCTCAAGATGCGACGGCTGCGACTCTTCACGCCACTGAACCACCTCCCTCCACGGTGCGAGACCCTCCACCACGGCGCGAACACCACATCCTCCACGCTGCGCAGCTTCAACACGCCGCGGCAGACACCATTACCACGGTGCGCCACCTTTACTGTGCCTCAACACCACTCCCAGACCTCCGCGCCAGCCTTTCCACGCCGTGTTGCAGCTGCCCAAATTTTTCCTCCTCTCACAGCCGCGAGTTTTCCTTCACTGCGGCCTCGGCGATCAAATGGTCCCAAGCTCCAGACCTCAAAACAGAAAATTCGCGGCCTTGGAGCTTCCCGCCATCGCGGAGCTGCTACTCACCGCGACCCGCGAGACTTCTCGCGGCTGTGAAGCGCACGACAGCATACTTTTAAAATCAGATTTCTTAGAATCGAGAGGGAGGACGCTAAACACCGAGGTTTTTATTTCTCTCGTTCCTCTCCCTTCCAAACTCAATCTTTCTCTTAGTTTTCTTCTATCGATTTGGTTTTGAGAGCGAAAGAACTCCTAGATTAGTATTTCTGGATTTGGTTGCTCTCGTTTTCAACATTGAATATTAATCGTAAGCTTTCTTTTTGTTTACTACTATTGTGATGGCTTGGATTATTGTGAATTTTGATGTTGAATCAATAATGAGTGGCTAAATTAATTTGCTAGGGAATAGGGGATGAAGTTTTGATTTCGTTTGTGATTTTTGGGCTCGAGATTGTTCAATTTGTGTGAGTTAATCTTTTTCTAGGGTTTTTCAATTGTCCGGCTTGAATATTGAGAATTGTTGAAGGGTGACACTTCAACGTCCAATTATTTTAATTGAAATTTGTTTAATTCATGCATGATTTTGAAAACTTTAAACGGACTAGCTGATTAACCAACTCCTAGTCTAATTTGATAAACTCTTTGAACCGAAAGGGGAGGAGTCGGTCGAAATAGGCTCGTATGAACTCGGCTTGTTCATAACTGTATTGCCTAGGCGTTAACTGAATTGTTAATTTGTCGTTCAAGCTTGTTCTCTTATTACGAAAAGTTATTGAGAATGAATACTTGAACAATAGGTTATTCAAATCACTTAGCCGAACAAGCACTTGCCCGATAATCGCATTTCGAACTGAAACGGATATCCCCGACTCTCTAGCTTCTTAAATCCTATTTGTTCTACGTGTTCGCTTGCTATTTACTTGTTTTATTTTAATTCTTGCAGTAGTTGATAATTAAAAACCAAACTCAATATTTGATTTAGAATGTTTAGGAATTTTATAAATACACAGAGTATTCTGGCTAACCTTCCTCGTGAGACACGACCCGGTGTTCGAATCTTTCGATTTTACTTCGGAAAAATATTTACAACATATATAGCGGTACTTCAAAACCTTCGGCGAACAATACTATTTTTTGAAATTCTAAAGACTCAACGAAAAAATTAAAGAACACAATATGCTTTATGAACTTTGAAAATGTAATGCAAGAGCTCTTAACATTTCAAGTTGCAAATGATTTCATGTATGTGGGTATTTATAGATGTGAGAAAGACCTCCAAGAGGTTCAACTGTCAAAAGACACCTTTTGGAACGTACCGCAAGAGGGGACGCATCGAGTTCAGTTTTTTTACTCATTCCAACAAAACGTTCTAGAGTAATAACATGCAAGCTGCATAACCAGGTCTCGTTTCAATCATCCTAACATTCATCAAAGATAGAATGTTTTGCGAATCTAATAATTTCGGTTGCTTAAACTCATTGCTTCAATCTATATATACGACTTAGAATTAATTGTTGATTCACCTTAAAATAATTTTAAAATTTTTCTAAGTTTTTCACTTGCGATAAATGAACCTTTATATCGCTATAAAAACCAATTTTTCTTACAAGTTTGTCTATTGAACAACATTCCACTCCAAAATGGAGACAATCTCGTATACATGACAATTAAAAAACACTTTATTTTCAAATTAGTTAAAAAAGATAATTAATATATTTTAATTAATATTTTTTACTTATCATGATAAAAAGTTACTCCTTTCTAGGTCATCGGGTTGCTCCATGGAAAAATTGGAAATAATAACCATATAATTTATGTTTTCCCGTAAAAAACTATTTACCCAAACTCAGTTTTAAATAGGATTGTTATTGAACCGAGCTGTTCGCGAACAAAGCTCGTTCGTGTTTGATTACAGGTCGTTCGTTTAGCAATTGAACCGAACTCGAACATGAAATTATGTTCGTTTAGTTATCGAACAAACACGAACAAGTTCGCGAACAAAAAAAAATATTTTATAATTTTATATTATATATAGTTTATATATGTATAATATAATATATAAATATGAATATATATTAAATATTAAATAGAAAAATATTTTATAATATTATATGTTATATATAGTATATACATATATAATAAAATATATAAATATGAATATATATTAAATATTAAATAAAATAACTTGTATGACATTAAAATAAAAAAAAAAGTTAAAAAAACATGAACACGAACATGTTTGAACAATTCAAACACGAATTTGTCGGATAATTTGAACAATTCGAACAATTCACAAACAAGTTCGACTAGATAAACGAACGAAGATTAACGTGTCGAACCAATAAACGAACGACATTTTTTATTCTTTTACTAAACGAACGAACACTTACATGTTCGAAAATTAGTCGAACTCGAGCTCAAATACCTTAAGCTTAATTTTGTTCGGTTCGATAACAACCCTAGTTTTAAATATTTGTTCAACTTAATTTCCTAAGAGGACACCACTTACAGCAAAACTCAACATAAGATGGTATTGTATTTGGGAGCACTCGGAAAAATTGGGGTGCAATAACAAATGTTAAATGTGTGAGTGTAATTTGACTAGTTGAGACCCAACTCCCATCTCCCAACTCCTAACTTCAAAGTTAGCAAGTGAGTGGGTCACGTGACCCCCACATATATGATTCTTTTTACTACCTCCTATTTTTAATATATGTCGTTTTGAAAAGTTGCACACTAATTAAGAATATTTTTTTGTCAATAATAACTTTATTTAATGAAGATAGAGATGAATGTTTTGAGAAAAAGTGAAGAGTGAATATGAAAAGACGTAATGTATTTATTGGTTAAATGAGGGTACTAATGGAAAAATATGTACAAAAAATCCAAAACGACATTTATTTGGCAAATAGTTGAAAAAGCTAGAATGACATTTAAAAAAAAAATAGGAGGGAGTAGTATTTTTTTTTCAAGATTAATTGTCTTTTAAATTCTTAAACTAATTCCAAGAGGCAGAGATTTCTTCACTAATTTACTTCAATCAATGAGCATATATACCTTTAACCTTTTTCAATTAAATAAAATTATGGGAATAGAGTTGGATGCCATTATTATCAAAGTACGAGGGAAAAAGTTGCTGGGTCGTTTTCAATTGTGAAAAAATGGCAATAATATTTTTTTTTTTTTAAAAAAAAAGATGCACATGAGTCGTTTGACAAAATTCCAAACAGAAGAAAAGAAAAAGATAATAAAGAAGAAAGAAAGTGTGTGTATGATGAAGGGGGCAACAGTGTCAGGCTTGGCGTGCCCAACACTGTAAAGCTTTTTAATTTTTTTTTTTTTTTTTGTTTATTTATTGAAAATTTTAAGGGGTCCTCACTGGCTAGTAGCAATACCCCATTTTTTAATTAATTTTTTTTTTTTTTTTTTATTTTATTTTTAACAGTGGGAGCTGAAATTACAGTGAAAAAGAGAAAGAAAAATAGGTATAAAAACAATGTTGGCATTGTTATTACCTACCTTTGTTCGCTTCATGGTATATACAAAGTAGAGTGTCGTGGGGGAGGGTAAAAAAAAAAGGGCTGCCTTGCGGGCTTTTGCTGATTCTCAAGGTATGTGGCTTTTTTTATGAGAGCTTTATGTTGTCATGGTGGCTGCCTGGCAAAGATGAGAGAAACAACTCATCTTTGTTTTGATGTTTTTGATCCTTTGTTGGGCTAATTAAATATCCCTTTTTCTGATAAAGATCGCTACTTTTTGAAGCTTCTGGCTTTCGTTCTTTCATCTTGTGATGAGTCGTAGCTTTCTTGTATTTGATGCTTAATTGCTTATTGATATCTAAATGGAGTTGAAATTTAGTAGTTTCAGGTAAATATTTGATGTTTGTGTTTATTTATTGCTTCAATATTTGCTCTCATGGCTGCATTGCATGCTCCTGTTCTTCTTCTTCTTCTTCTTTGCACTATGTAATGGGTTTTTGATTCTATTATATTTCTTCTTCATCTTTGCACTATGTAATGGGTTCTTGATTCTATTATATTTCTGTATAGTGCTAGTTTACTGGTTCTTGGTTAGGGTACCTTTAAGCATGTGGCGCATTGTATTGGTATTGATGCCTCACATCTCTTGTTACCCTGCTATTTTAGGGAACAATATTGTTGGTTTTAGTGCAAGCTTGTTCATACTTGTAGATATGTTTTCAGTCATATCCAAAGCTAGTTGGTGCTTCTTGTCTGTGATTCTGGTGGTGCCCGTGCGCTAATACCGGTGTTTTTGCTGGCTTTGACAGGTTTTCCAACTTCATTGGTGTTTGGACTCTTGGGGTTTGAGTACTTAAGTGTTGAGCTCCCTGAGTGAAGTTAATAATTTTTTGGGAAAAGTAATCAAGTGGGAGTCTCTGTTATTGCATTAAGCTTCTCTTTGAGGGGTTGATTAGATTCTTACCTTTGATATTTCTTTCTTGATTTGCTCTTTCGATTTACTTCTTGAGACGTGAGTGGTTGAGTTGGAAAATAGTGTTGTGAAATACCTGTTTGGATTCAAAGATAATTTACCACCAAGATGAAGTTTATGAAACTTGGTACGAAGCCCGATCAGTTCCAGAGTGACGGGGAAAATATAAGGTAGTCTTTGTCCTAAGTTTTAGAATGAAAGTGTATCTAACTAGAAGCAGTAGTAGACTGGTATGGTTGGTAATAAATGTTTGGTATGATGGTGAAAAAACATCTTGTGCCAGCATTATTCTTGCCGTTTTGTTCGATTATATCTAACATAGAAAGCTATTTCCTGATCTGTTATGAATCAACCCTTGACTGAAAGAAAGGATTTGTATTTCAGGCATGTAGCGACTGATTTGGCTACTGATATGGTCGTTATTGTTGGCGATGTCAAGTTTTATCTACACAAGGTAATAATCTCGTATGCTTCACATGATGCTTCTTAGGATTGAAAGTTAGAGGACCATTTTCTTACCACTGTAGATTTGTGTTGAACCACAGCATGCACATACTCATTCTGCTACTGTAGATTTGTGTTGAACCACAAAAAACGGCTACTTTTATGTCGATATCGCCTGAACGATATGAAAGCTATTGACCGAAAGATACATTAATCTGAGACCTTGTTCACCATCTTGCAATTTCTACAATTAGAAATGGATAGTTTCATCTTTTGACCCTAAATTCATAGTTTTTTTTTTTTTTTTTT